AAAGTACGGAGTGCGTAGCAAAACGCAAGCCGCGAATATTAGGTTAGCCTGTGAAATAAAGTTGCATTAAGTTGAAACATTAATTGTTTAAATCTGACGCATTTATTAGTATGTATATTCGTGAAATAAATAACGGAAATCATTTAGATTTGCAATCGCTGTTTATAAAATAAAAATCTATATCATAGTGGATTCAAAAGTTTTAAAAATTTTTATTAAACATAGTTTGTAGATTGCGATAACTGTACAGCTATCTAACACAAATTGCGATAAAAGAAGCAGTTTGGCTTTCATTTACGCATCACACAGTGCCTAAAATGCGAAAGCGGAAATAATGAATTTTCCGAATTTTCACAATTTTGCTATCGCATCGCATTACAGAAAAAATTTGTGAAGTGGGCCACCATTTTTTCGAAGGTCGAGCTTTTTTGTCCAATTAACCGTTTATGCCTCACAACGATAAAAGAAAAATATAAGTTTCACAATTTTTCGAAATTCGAATTATTTTGTAAGTTATAGCTATTAACTTTTTTCGAAATTGTTTTTATTTTATTTATTTCTCGCTATTGGTAATACCGATTCTGCTCATTGTTTAAACAGTTAAAATTGACGATGTTTTCTTCCCATTCTTATTTTTTATTTGGTCATAAATTATTTTTATAAATGTTATTAACTTTTTTTTTAATATTACTGACATCTCAATGACTTTAACCCTTGGAGGGCCCGCTTTGAAAGTTACACGAGAGGACGCGCCGCGGAAATTTTGCCACAAAGTGGATCTCAAAGGCTGACAGCATAATTTTTATTTATTTATATCGAAAAAGCATTCAAATAAAAGATTGAATAATTTGTGTTTATACTGAAACATATAAGCCTCCATTTTTTAAATTTTTATCCGTCATCATCAATTTATACTGAAATATATTATAAGCAATTATGTTTTTAAATTTTTATCCGTCATCATTAACAGTGGTGTTGGTACATTCTACACATTGTGAAATATGCTTGAAATGTTTTCTGCAAACATTTTTGCTACAATTAATACAAACAATTTTTGTTTTGTTACTCCCATCGTATATACTTACAAGTATGGAATCCTATGCCCCTTTTTGTCTATTCTCTTTCTAACAGCGGACGTGCCTGCCAAACTGAAAAGCATGATGGCGGCAGTGTTTGACAGGCACCTTCTACGATGCGAACGGCAATGGAAGGTAAGAAATGGAAGATGGATGACATCACAATGAAAGAATTATGAAATATCAGAATGTCGAACCAAAACGAATTTCAAAAATCTGACAATCCGAATGACGTCAAAATGAAAGAACTGCAAAATACCGAAATGTCGAAACAGAAGAAATAGATGACAGGCACGTGTTCAAGGGTTTCGTGCAACAAAAAGAGTTGTGTTGCGCCATTGAATCTTATCTTTTTTATTAAGTTGAAAAATTACATAATTCGCCAGCCAAAAAGTGTATAAATAAATATATAGCATATTGCTATAAGATGTACATGCTTATGGCCTTATTCATAAAAAAAGAAAATAGATGTAAAGTAACATTATAAAAATCGATTTGTTTACTTTTTAAGAATTTGGGAAAAACATTTAACTCAAGTTTTGGTGCACCCATCTCTTTTTCTGTTTATTATTTTCAAATTTTTCTTTTCCTTAATACTCATTGAGTTTTCATTTACACCCAGCAAAAATCAAAATATTTTATAAGAAATTTGTTGACCGTTTTTCGCACACTTCTCTCTTGTTTTTTTATCGTAGTTATTATTCTGTTGACATCTAAATTGTCATAAATTTTATGTTGTTGCCAATACATTGTTTTCCGGCGTTTCCTCTGTGAACTTTTATAACTACATTCATAAAAATATTACTAATTTTGGTTTATAATTTTTTTCCATCTTGTTATTGCTGAATATCAAAAAGGAATTAATAAATAATAAAAAGTTAGTTACAATTTTAGTGAATGGTTCTTGCAAATAATATTATTTTATGGTTGAAATGACTTGATCGCCGTCAGGAGCTTATCAACTTTTTTGCCAAAACCAAAGCAGACGGGAAGGAAAAATAGTTGTTCATTAACGATTTGTCTGAAATATCGTTCTTGAAACGCGTTACTGCTCACTAAATTTGTAAAAATAAAATTTTTTCACTTAATTGTTATATTCTTCCTCATTGTGGTAAATTTATTCATCATCACAGCAGGGCGCAATCTTCTTTTCTATGATTATTGTATCGCTACTTTGAATTTCTCAATTTTGACAATTCTGATCTAAAGGTAAACGAAACCTCAGAAACTTTAAATGCACTGAAATTCACTAATACCCACTTCCGCAAAAATCACCTTATTTCGTATTTCCTTTGTTAAAAGTTATTGTAAATCACATATTTTTATTGCCTTATTAATAAAAAATAAAAATTTTAAAAAGCTTTTTAAATTGCCGTTTACAAACATTTTTCAATTTATAAGCCTTTTTTAAGCTACTTTATTGTTTATGAATAAGGCTATTATAAATTAGCACAATCAAAACACGTTCCTTATCGAAAAATTTATTATTAAGAAAATTTGCTGTTCCCACATTTTCTTTCAACATCCAATTCGACTTTTATTACTTTTTGTACAGATATTCTTTCAACATCCAATTGGACTTTTATTCCTTTTTGGACAGATGTGTCATCGCCGCCAGGACGGCGCAATCTTGTATTCTATCTTTCTTGTCAAATATGNCTGTTCTCACATTTTCTTTCAACATCCAATTCGACTTTTATTACTTTTTGTACAGATATGTCATCGCCGCCAGGACGGCGCAATCTTGTATTCTATCTTTCTTGTCAAATATGCATTTAGATCTAACTCTCATACTACTATTAATGGTAACCATGAATATTCATTAAAATCGTTTCAATTCGTAATAAAAGTTATTTACATACTGCTGGTGTAAATATATTTTTTAACATAAACTACCTTTTTTAATTCTAAAATAAATCAACAATCTCAAGATTTATAAGAAAATTGTCTTCAAAAAATACGTCCCAAAGCATCCCTGTTGATATCATAATTCAAATGCAAATTAGAATAGAAATTTTGATGCAAAAGTTTTTCCGCGTTATTCATCATCTTACTTGTCCGTATGTCGCTCTGGAAAGAAATATATTTTAACTGATATGTTTTCTTGAAAATAAATGCAAATTTACCTATTTTTTCCACCGGCAGGCACGAATATGATATTCAAAACAGAAGCAATGACAACGAATTTTACACACATTGTTGTATTTTAGCGCAAAACGATAAGTTTCACAAATATTTTAAATTATTGTCTGGAACATACACATTTATCGTTATTATTGGAAATGCAAGACTTGGCATGCATATTTAATTTCTTTTTTATTGAATTCAAATGAATAAAAACACATTTTTCTTAAATATTTCTCAATTTACATTTTAAAGTTTTTTCTGAAACTTGAATGTAACTCTGTGCGGAGAATTAGAGAATTGAAAATCAGGTGATCTCAGCTGTTTTCAAATGTAAACAAACAAAATGGCGCTTTCCATACTTGGTTACTCCTGGTACATATTCCTGGTTTCGATTGCTGTTGCGTAGCTGGTTCGCTTCTGTATAAGTTTCAAAACATTTTTTTTCTATAAAAACTAAGAAAATGAATATCATAATAATTTCAATAATGTTTACGCAAAGTATAATTTTAAAATGACACATGACAAAATACTTACAGCCAATTCCACGAAAGCAATTTAAGTGAAAAATGATTTTAATTTTTTGAATTTAATAGATTTGATAGAAAATAAAAAATCATTTTCCATTTAAATTGCTGGTGAAACCGGCTATTACAAAATAACAATTTAGATTTAGACCCTTATCACAAACTCACTTTTCCAACTATCTTAAAAAAAAAATTTTACGAATTACATTAAAATTTTTTTGGGACACGTGAAGGCGCGACGCGGAAATTCAGCTGCATATAGAAGACACCAACTTTTAAATACAAATATCAACTGAACAATATAACGCAGCAAGTAACGGCTAACTGCGAACCATGCTGCATCTCAAAACTTACAAAGTCACTAAGTAGCAGTGGCCGGCTACTACAATTGGTATTTGAAAGCCTCAAAATAAAATGTTTGTTAAAGGGTTAAAATCGCATTTTGGGCTAATATTGTTGTATGTTCTATCAAGAGTTAATTGCAGAAAAAAATTTGCGGGAATGCATCGAGACGAAAGTTGTTCACGCTTTCTCTTGACGCCCAATGTATTTTGTATGGAAAACGTTTGCCGTAGATATTTATCTCGCATGAGTTTTTCAACAAGCACCGATTGACAACGAGTCAAGCGCGCTTACTTTACTCATTTCATTGTTTTCTATGCAAAATACATTGGGCGGCAAGAGAAAAACGTTAGTACCTTTTGTCTCGATGCATTCCGGCAAACTTTTTTTCTGCAAGTAATTGTTAATATAACGTACAACCACACATCCAAAACACGATTTTAAAGCCATTGAGATGTCTGTAATATTTAAGAAAAAATGAATTACTTTTATAAAAGAATTTTTATAACCAAATAACTAATAAAAACGGGAAGAAAACATCATCGTTCTTAACTGTTCAAAAAATAAACAGAATGGGTATTATCAATTGCGAGAAAACAAATAAAATCTAGACAATTTGGAAAAAAGTTAATAGCTATAACTTCCAAAATAATTCAAATTTCGAAAAATTGTGAAACTTATATTTTTCTTTTTTAATTGCACAAAAAAGCTCGACCTTCGAAAAAATGGTGCTCCACCTCACAAATTTTTACTGATTACAGAGTAACCCCCCTGAACTACCGTTGTATGCATCGTAGTCCGTTTTTCGTGAAATATACGAAAATGCGATCACAGATTAAGTGATAGCATTTTTGAAAAATCGGACTACGATGGTTTCAGTGATAGCCCTGAATATGTTAGAAGTAATGCTTATTTTATTTAATTTTTATAGATGTACAGCTGGGTTGGCCAGTGTTCAGACACTATAATGGTTAATTCCACGTGGACTGAAAATCATATTGGTGATTTATGGGGGGTACCTTTTAAAACGCATCGTGTATATCCTCCTTGTGAAGTAAGACATATTAAAGCGCTAAAGCGCAACGAGAATACAGAGAAGGTAATAATTTTATCCATTGGTCAATTCCGACCAGAGAAAGATCACCCGTTACAGCTGCAGGCAATGTATGAACTACGAACTCTTTTATCAAGAAATGAGGATCTGTGGAATAAGGTGCATCTTATCATAGCGGGTTCGTGTCGAAACGACAGCGACTACGAACGGCTGAAGAATATGCAAGACTTGGCTAAACATCTCTCTTTAGAAAATTCCGTGGAATTTAAAGTAAATGTTCACTACGATGAACTCCTCCAACTGTATCAAAAATCCGGAATTGGAATTCACACTATGTGGAATGAGCACTTCGGTATCGGCATCGTCGAATGTATGTCCGCAGGTATGATAATGATTGCTCACCGATCCGGAGGTCCCTTATTAGACATAATCGAAACTTCAGAAGGAAGTCAGAACGGATATTTAGCAACAAATGCTGTTGAATACGCTAATTGCATCTTAAGTATCATATGCAGTTCCAGAGAAGTAAATGAAACAATTCGCAATGCAGCAAGGTGAGTGAACTTTTGTTTACATATTGACCCTTTTGCACGAAATTATCGTATGCGCCATTTTTTCGAAATTAAATTTTTTGTGCCATTTTCTTTCACCTAGCAAAATATTGTAGCCGAAACCCTACAGTTTCGGTAAAAATTTGCGGTATATTTTATTATATGTTACAAAGATTTTTTTCTTGTGTGCAGAATTATCGTATGTGCCATACAAAAGTATTTTGTACGTAGTAAAAAAAAAATAAAATAAAAAATCCAAAAAATTTTGAAAAGTAAAAACGCTCTTCTGTAAAATTTGGTTTCTGGCACGTACGGTAATTTCGCGCAAAGGGGTCGATATTATATGTAAAATAGGTATCTACGGTGACCATATTTTTGAAGTAAAAATAAAGGACATACTTTCATATGTATTTTTTGTATTTTATTAAATTCCATAAAGATATCAAACCGATATTCAAAAAATTCTTAGTTCAAAAAATTAAAAATTTCAAGGTAAATATTTTGCTTTTGTACATTTTTTCAATGGGTCAACAAGTTTTAAGTCGTAGAATTCTGAACATCTTAAACCTGATACTACGTTTATGCGGCAGAATTCATGAATTTTTCATTTCATGAATTCAAAAATGGTCCCGTTTATGCATAGTTCACGAATTCATGCAATAAAGTGATTTGAAAAAGTGGCAACGCACTGGCGGGAAACTAAACAGTAGGGTTGTGATTTTTTTGCCTCCTTTTGAATTTGCAAAAGCCGTTGATACCAGGCAATGAACCTTATTTTATTTAAATTGGTTTTAATATATTTTCAGTTTATTCTATTTGAATTTATTTTATATTTGAACAATTCCACATAACTTTTCCAGTGTTTAAAATCCTGATTATGCCACTCATGGTTATTAATCTAAGAACATTGTAACCCTAGTAAACAGCTGTTTGTGAAACGTGGCGTTGCCGGACTTGCACTTCACGATTTCATGAAATGATGCCGAATTCATGGTTAACTTTCATGTATAACTGAATTCATGAAATGGTGTTTATGCAGCCAATTTTAACCTTAATTCATGAAATGAATTCGTGAATTAGCCTACGCATCAACGTAGTATAAGATACAATTAGTAAGCACAGATGCTTCAATAGTCTCAATTTTGAGTTGAGCTTTCTCACTGGCCAAAATGATTGATTATTGAGAATATTCGTGCGGTTGATGCGTTCGAACCAAGAATACATAAAGAAAATTTTACTACTTTTTAATATATTTCCATATGGTTTTGAAAATGAACAAACATTTTAGACCATTTTTGATTATCAAATAGCTTCTGGTTTCGACAACACTCGATTTTTTCAACAGTTATGTTTGTAATTTTTTACACATAAGCGATTTTTTTTAAGTCGGAGGGATTTCGTAAAAAAAAATGTGTCATGTCTCGATTCGCTTCAAATTTTGTTTTGTGATTTCTATACATGAAATAAGCTAACACGTGCTCCAGGAAATTTTTTCTTATCTTTTTCTTCGGAGATATGATCTGTCAAAGTTGAATTTTCGTGATTCTGACCAATCATGTATTTCTTCACATCTCGGGTTCTGTTGATCGCGGAGACTTCATCTTAACGTCATTTCAAAGCTAAGAAACGGGCTTAACATTTCTATATATAAGATGGTCAAGATTGTCCTAAAGCTAACTTAGCTATTAACAGTTGAGCTTTTTGAAGTTGATTTGCATAGTGAAGACCAGTAAATTAAGGATTTAAAATTATACCAAGAACTATTTTTAAAATATTTTTTATTTTGTGAGGATCGACAATTTTTTGTAATTTTTTTCGAAAACTTATGTTAAGATATATTTGGTAAAATGTTAAACATCGGGTTTCTGCAAAAAGTAAAATTTTATTGCGGATTCCGATAGAATATCTATCCAGATATAATATTTGTATCGCAAGATTTTTCTTTAAGGTGACAAACCCCTAGAAATGGGCGTGGCAATCGCAGGACTATAATTAGCAAACGCAGATTTTATTGCGGATTTCGGCAGAATATCGCTTCGTTAACAATATTTGTGCCACAACTTTTTCAATCAATATACATAGATATTCTGGCGAAATCCACAATGAAGTCTAAATTTTTGAACTTTGGTTTTAATATAGCGACGCCCATTTCTATAATATTCTTTGTTTGAAAATGACGAAAAATAAACCATCTCGTCATAAAGAACAATATTTTAAAAATAGTTCTTGAAAACCCTCCATTTTTAACCACTTTTTTTTTGTGGAGATTTAAAAAAAAAATTCCGATGGTATAATTATAAATCCCTAATTTACTGGTCTTCACTATGCAAATCAACTTCAAAAAGTTCAACTTTTAATAGCTAAGTTAGCTTTAGGACATTCTTGACCATCTTATATAAAGAAATATTAAGCCCGTTTCTTAAGCTTCAAAACGACGTTAAGATGAAGTCTCTATGGGCAGAACTCGAGATGTAACGATTTGAAGGAGTACATGATTAGTCAGAATCAAGAAAAAATGCAAACTTTGACAGATCATATTTCCAAAGAAAAAGTAGAAAAAAAAGATTCGTCGAACACGTGTTAGCTTATTTCATGTATCGAAGGTGTGACACCAAATTTAAAAAATCATTTTCGGTAATTTTTACATTTATTTTGCGTTTAATAAGCAAAACACAAGTTTCCACCTGCGTCCACAGCGGAGGTTGCTTCAGTAGAACCCATTCGAAAATACTTATTTCTTCAAATATGTACCCCACCGATTTAAAGATCGACATCTGAGTGGAAGATCGATTTATCTCGGCAGCCAGTTCGAAAACTCCATATCTCAGAAAACTTTTCAATAGGGATGTGCCGTATAGAAATTTTTCCGGATAACCGGATTCCGGATACCATGTAAAAAATAACACCCGGATTCGGATATCCGGTAGAGTGCTGCTCTTAGTTAATTTCATAATGTTGTTATATTCAATGTTTTTGTTTAGCGACTTACTTATGGCCAGTTTATCTGTACGTAATTAAGAATACAAAATTTTCGTCTGAAATCCAAGTTATAAAATAATGTTGTAATAAAAAGATAAGTTCTCCTTCAGCAACGCGGATTTGTCGATTATTTTTGGTAACTAGAGGAGAATCGTCACAGAAAACTGATAAGCAACCATGAACGCCGCTAAGAAAAAACTCATGTTTGATGTATTTTTATTTTAAAAAGTGATCAAAATCGAACTGCTTCATTGTGGCAATAGTTTGTGACCCACGTTTCAAAATCCGTTTTTTCTGACATCAGTAAATCTAAAAACTGGGTAGATGGTGAACTAATTCGCAAATATAAATCAGTTAGATGGAGAATCATATGAATCATATGAAAAATGCCGAACTCTAGTGAAAGCTTCTATTGAAAAGCGAGCCCACCAGGAAATTTGGCAATGATTTGAGGAAATTGCCAACGGCTCTGATGCTGATTCCTGTTTTTGTAGTGATATGGATAGCTAAACGATGGGGAAATTGAGAAATATTTACAGCTACCTCTTATACCCAGAAAGGAAGATCCTTTAATTTGGTGGAAGAATAGTCGTAAAGAATTTTCAGATTTGTTTACACTGGCAATGGAGTATATCTGCAAATCACCTTCCTCAGTGAACTTAAAAAGGGTGTTTAGGGCATCGGGTAGCATTTATGTTGAAAATAGAAATAAGTTGTTGACCGGTAATGCGGAAATGCTTATTTTCATTATGAAAAATATATAAATTTTTAACTCTAATTACTAATTACTTAGGTTTATTTATAATTTAGGATTATGAAAATACAAAAAAAAAAAAAAAATTGTGAACTACATAGATTTTTAAATTGAGTCCTCTTTAATGGAAATCCGGAAATCCGGCCGGATTTTAGCCAGGATCCGGCCGGATAGTCTGATATCAGTAAAACGGCCGGATAAGCCGGATTCCGGATATCTACCGGATACTTGGCACATCCCTACTTTTCAAGAACACCCTATCTCAGAATTCGTTTCAAAAACGGCCCATCTCAGCCGCCGATTCAAAAACGCCATATCTCAATATATTTTTAATATATTTTCAGTTGAGTTAGGGCGTTTTTCAACTAAGTACAGCGATATGTAATACATGTTTCATCTATACATATAATAAAATTGTAACAGGTCGATGTCTGTATATTATAGATATTAAAGAAAAATTAATGTGGGGGTCTTTATTAGAGCCCCAGAAGCCAAATCAACCATTTTTAGAATTTTTGTCTGTCTGTCTGTCTGTATGTTTGTTCGCGCATCACTCGAAAACGAATGCATGGATTTGAATGCAGTTTGCACCGATATATTGCTAGAGGTCTAACTTAAAATATAGGAAGAAAAAATTAAGAGAGTTGCCACCAGTTTGAAAATTGGAGTTTAAGTAAATTGATAAGAAAAAATGAATATTGCAATATGGGCGTCAAAAGAAAGAGGCTGAAGAAGGCTTACAGCCAAAAATATTTTTTTTAGAGTTGCCACCTGTTTGAAAATTTACATTTAATTTAATTTATAAGATAAATTTAATATTACAATATGGGTATCAAACTGAAGGGGTTTAGGAAATTTTAGTGCCGAAAATATTTTTAGGGAGGGCTGCCACCTGTTTGAAAAATTTTATTGTATTAAATTGATAAAATAAATGAAATCTATATCTACATCTATACATATAATAAAATTGTAACAGGTCGATGTCTGTGCCTTATAGATAATAAAGAAAAATTAATATGGTGGGTTTTTATTTAAGCTACAGAAGTCAAATAAACAATTTTTAGAATTTTTGAATCTCTGTCTGTCTGTATATTTGTACGCGCATCAGTCGAAAACATGGAATTGAATGCAGTTTTCACCGATGTATCGCTAGAGATCTAGCTTCCAATATAGAAGAAAAAATTAGAGAGTTGCCACCTGTGTTTAAAATTTCAGTTTAGGTCAATTGATACGGTAAAGTGAATACTGCAATATGGCTGTCAAAAGAAAG